TGCCTAGCACACATTATTAGCAACCATAAAGTCATTATTCATTTAGTTTGCATTGGCTCCTTTGGACCTTGGAGTTTTGTTGGACTGAGTTGATTTTTACAGCATTAAACATCAAATTCCCAGGACTAATAAAGAGAGTTCTTGTGGTTTGTGCTCTGCACCACAAGCTGGCGTATGTTCATGTGTTTATTTCAGTTTCTCTTTTTCTCTCTGCAGAGTGAAGGATAAGGGTTTAGACAACATTATTCCCAAGGTAAAAAATGAGTTTGCAGAGGTGACCCAATTTTAATCAGTAATGATACAGCTAGTGTGATAACTTTAATGTGGACACAGCTTCCCTTCCTAATCATTGCTTCCTGAAACCCCAGCCCTGGAAGGGTATTTGTAGAAATTGTGTCGATGACTTCTGTTACCCTTTCACTAAGCAATACCACGTCTTCACCCTGTGGTAGCGCATCCTTCACGCTGAAAGACCGAATTGACATTGACAGAGACTGTCCGGCTTGTATGCTGTTTTCCTCTCCAAAATTTAAACTCATCCTCTCGGGTACTCTGTGGAAATAGGGAGTGTTATAGAAGTAGTGTGTTTTTATACCTTTATTAATCTGCTATGCAGGTACACTTGCTCTCAGGGGCCCTTTGTGAAGGTAGATGTAGGACAACAAGCAAACTTTTTTAAAAATGTAAATATATAGCATGTGTCAGAGTGTGGAATGCACACATTCTCCAGAAAGCCTGCCATAAAATCCCAAACTGCCGGTGGATGCACAGCGTAATTGCTCTCTGGAGAGTGAAAGAAGTCGTGTTGCCTCCTCAGCAGAAATTCACCTCCCCGGATGAAAATCTGATAAATTTCCCAGTTTCCCACAGAGGGAACGACTGAGAATTTAATGAGAAACACATTGGAATGGGACCTGTCACTGTGTGATTATGCATTCACTAATCTCCCTGCGGGGTACAGGAAAACTCAGTCTTCTCTGAGAGAGTTTATCTGAGAAAGGGGGAAAACACATCTAGAAATAAATTACCGAAAGAGAAACGTCTTCACTCCCACACGGATCCCTACTGACATCTCACTAGGCAGCTTGTTTACCTAACAAATAGCAAAAAATCAGGATTTGCATAGTAACCTGTTTTTACGATGATCAATAAAATTGGAGTTTTCACATGCTGACTAATGTATCGATACCTAAAGCAGCTCATAAAAGCCTGGCAGTTTTCATTTGGTCTTACAATTTGTGTGCAAATAATCTAAGTACAGGGACATGGAGAGTGGGTGTTCTCACTCATAATGAAGGAGCTAATCTTATACCTAACATGTAATTCTCTTACCTGGGATAGATTTCCTCAAGTACATCTTACTTATTTCATCCTAAAATTTTTAAGCAACTAACACATACCAGGGACCTAGATCTATATGTGTAGACTAAGCTCTGTGAATAAGTCACATATCCAGTGACCTCTACAAAGTATGTCACAGAAACATATTCAAAATTACTGCCACCTAAGGGGATTTCATAAGAGCCATCACCTACTATCAGACTGTCAGTGCGATAAATGCAGATATGCTCTTTCCAGAATTTAAAAACAAGAGACACAAAGAATATCTTGAATGAGTATTGGGCAGATCAAACATATCTCAGTAGCTTGGTACTTGCGCAAGTTAGAACTGTAGAGAAAGCATCCTGAGTGCCTGGAAAGTAAGAAAACAGTGATTGGGTGTTGTGTGGTAAGCTATCCTTATTCAGAACAATTATGTCAAGAAAGAACTGCTCACAGTTCTTCATAGATTCTGGAAGGCTTTCAAAATATGGAACTATTATTACAAAAGGAACATTAAAAGATGGTGTTATCAATGATGCTACCCGAACCATTGCCCTCTGTATTAACTCATACTTACTTTCCTTATCATCCATAAAATCTTGGACTCAAGTATGACCTCATAAGAGTAAATCTCACTCTTGGTCAGTTGCTTAGTTCTAAGGATCAAACACAGAGTGTTCTGCATTCTAATAAACACTCTTCTGCTCGTTCTATCCCAGCATTTTCTTGAGCTAAGATTGGTTCTTTTAAAATTACATGTATTTCTTACTTCCTTGGCTTTTTTATATTCATGAGATTTCCATCCCTGTTGTGTGATGTTTCGCTCTTTTGGCTTTTTTGAGGGGCCCACCACCTAGTTCCCAAACAAATTACACAGGGGCTTATTATTGCTTATGAATGCCCGGCCATAGTGTGGCATGTTTTTTGCCAGCTTTTCTTATGTTACCCTGACTACCTTTTGTCTTTGGATTTTAATCTTTCTCTTTTTCTGTATACCTTACTTTATTTCTTCCTCTGTGGCTTGCTGTATAGCTGGGTTGCTGTCCTCCTCTCCTTGTTCTGTTGTTGCTCTTCTTCTCTCCTCCCAGATTCCTCCTGCTATTTATACTCTCTGCCTGCCAGCCCCACTTATCCTTGCTCCTGCCTTGTTATTGGCCAGTCAGCTCTTTATTAGACCGTCAGGTGTTTTAGACAGGCAAAGAATCACAGCTTCATAGAGTTTAACAAAAGCCACACACTTGAAAATAATATATTCCCCAACACACCCAAATGTAGATTATTAGTTAAACCTAAAAAATAACTATGCTCTTTTTGAAACCTAACTAGAACTGTTCTTGTCTCTTGTCACACAGGTCTTTCACTTGCTTGGTCTGAGTCACATCAAGATATTTTCTATTATTTGTGGCTTCTGTGTAGGGTGCTGTTTCCCTGACTTCTTCCTCAGCCCATTTATCATTTGTATATAGGAGAGCTATTGTTTTTTTTTCCCCGTTAATATTGTATCCAATCACTTCACTAAAGATGTGCATCAGCTGTAGGAGTTCCCTGGTAGAGCTAATGAGAGTTGTTAATATTTGAAAACTCATGCAATTTATTGTAATAAAACTGGAGATGTTAAAGATCAAATGGTAGAGGTCATGTTAGAACCGAGTAACTCGTGGCTTAAAAATAGTAAGCTGGAGAGTGTTGGAGAGCTCTTGATGGATTAACTACCATATTTCGTAACTTATAATCACTTAAATGCTCTTTGATGACTTGAGGCATGCCTGAATGACTTAGTACTGCTTAGATCAGTGCTTCTCAATTTAGGGGTCATGACCCTTTAACAGGGGTCACCTAAGACCATAAAGAAACACAGATATTTACATTATGATTCATAAAAGTATAAAATTACAGTTATGAAGTAGCAAGGACATTTGTGGTTTGGGGGTCACCACAACATGAGAAATTGTATTTACAGGTCACAGTATTAGAAGGTTGAGAACCACTGCCTTAGACTGTTAAGTTATAAGATGGCTTCCTCTGACTTTTGTCTCTTATCTCCAAGACGTTCCAAAAGGACAAAGAGTTCAAGGTAGGAAACAATTTTGTCTCTGTCTTTATGAGATGAAAATATTACCTCCAACACAGTTTTGTAAAACTAGGTTAAAAACTAAAAGACAATTGAGAGTTGTCATGCTTTATCTAGGAGGTCCTCTCTTTTAAATATTTTACAAGTAATTTATGAAATTAATTTACCTGCCTAATTTGTTCTTTCTTGCTAATTCCTAGACTGAGTGTCAACTGGACATGACTCTTGTCAGTATCTTCTGTCATTATTACAGTGTAGGGCCACTCTAACCCAGGTGAAAGGACGAAGGTGGCTTATCTCACAGCTATCCATAATTAGTTTCTTTAGAGGGGAGCAAAGGTTGATTTGTGGATCTGTGATGCTGATCATCCTATTTAGAACTCCTCTTTTTATTTCTGTGTATTTCCAGACAACAAATACCGTGAACTAAAATTCAAACATAAACAACCAACAAAACAGAAGTATCAGCCTGAAGTTTGTATCTGTTGGGTATAAACTGACTTCCTAAATAATGACACTTATAAAATTCTAATTCTAATAAAATAAAATTCTAATCCAAAACCTTTGTTTGACAATAGATGATCTAGTTATTAAAAAAAATGCTTGTGGTGAGGCATGTCTTTAATCCCATCATTCAGAAGGCAGAAATAGGCTGATCTCTGTGAGTTTGCATCCAGCCTGATTTATAGAGGGAGTTTCAAGACAGTCAGGAATACATAGAAAGAGTCCCTAAATTATTTATTGTCAATAAATAAACAAATAAAAACCAGAAGGAATTGTATGTATGCATAACATCTATGCATGATTCACTTAATTGAAGCTTTTGGCTTAACTGTGCTTTAATTAGATATAACCATATATTGCCAGTAAACTTCAGGTAAGTGTAATCTATTTTTTTTAATTTCAGCGTGGCATTAAAGTCTGAAATTAATTAGTCCTGACATGAATATAATATATATTTGGTTGCTCTCCTGATTTAACCTTCATACACTAATTAAATCAAACTCAAAGTACAAGATAAGCTATGCGTCTTAGTAAAAAGTGTGAGTGGTATTTAGTTGATTTGGTGTATACATTAATTTCTTAGCTGTCATCTGCTCCTTCCCCATTTATTAACACAATTCCTAGTCTGTTTCTCTGTGTAGTCTAATAACTCGATAAAGAGTTCACAGTTTTTCACAAGATACTGAAATAAACTAGAGGAGGATTTGCAACATTGTCCTGCATAGAGAGGGACGTGTGGCAGTGCCATAGGAGTTCGATGTAATCTGGTGTGTACAAAACAGCATCACCTCTTTACGTCGGGAGCATTCTAAAGTATATGCTAATCAAAATTGGGAGCAATTCATTACATTAAAAAATCATGTGTTGAGTGTGACATTTAGTCAAATTATTGACTTTATAATGAACTTCTAGACTGTGTACCTGATATTTTAATTCTGGGCATATTACACATAACATATATATATTCAGTTTGTTCCCATTAAAACAATGCAACCTGTATTGTGGCACTAAGTTCACTTTTGATGTGCCTTTGAAGTGTCTTGGTTTGTATGCCAAAGTAAGTCACACTTGGTCTTAAGTAAAGTATTTATCAGTATTCCTCAAATATGCCAGAATATCAAGTGCAAGCTTGTCTGAGTGCTTCTGCTTTATGGAAGACACACATCTAATAATCATCTACACATTTTATTACACATTTTATTGCAGCATTCATGAATATAAGATGAACACTTGTATTTCATAGATCTCCATAAAAATGATTATCCAAGAAAATAAATTTTGTAACTCTTCGTAAGTTAAACTTTCTGTGATTTCTGGTCAGTGTTTGAGAATGAAATGCCATTTTCAATTTATCAAATTCCCAAATTAAGCTTCTATGTCAGATTACATCACGTTTTCTTACAGTAGCCGTTAGGGTAGAAAGCTCAAAGGTATTTGATTGAATAATAGGAGTGTTTTTGACCATGAGTCTCAACATGAATACCTGGCCATGATTCATCTCCTTCAGTTACACACACACACACACACACACACACACACACACACACACACACTCACACTCACACGTACACACACACCCTACTTAGTTGCTCTCTGCGGATCTGCACAGTAAGGATACCAGAGAGTCACAGAAGTATTTTTAAGCAGTCCAGTTTCACGGTGTATGCTTGATGGACAGAATAAAATGTATTCCTCAGCTGTTCTTGAATGAGAGCAAGGGGTAGACAAAAGCAGAAGCAAGGGAAACGGAATTAGATCGACACAGATGCTGCACACTTGCTGGGCTTTTGCCTCCGTCCTTTACATCCAACCTCTAAACCCATCAGAATACCCTCAATTTTCCTGGTTCTAACCGAGAAAGCCCAGCCACTAACATGGTAGGATTCCACATAATGCCTTGACTTTATACACAATACACACCTCCAAGCTGAGCCTCTGCGGCTGGGGAAGCACATTTAAACATTTTAAAACATAGAACTAATTTTACACGACTTGAGGTATGGCTACAACAAAGTAAACAATGCAGTAAAGAAAAAAATGCAAAGGAGAGCCACATGCTACCAGACAATCTATATCAAAATGGTTATAGTTCACGAACAGCAATAGATGAGCTGTGTGTGGCACATTTGTTAAAATAATAAAAGTAAGAAAATATGCTCAATGTAGAGGTACCTTAAAAAAACAAATGTTTATAAAATATTTTATCTGCATTAAAATATTCTTTGGAAAACAAAAATAAAAATGTATCATGTATGTTCTTTCAGGTTGATCTGTAAAAGTCAGAAAAAATACATATAGTCCAGGCTTTTGAACATTCTAGAAATGTAGAATGCTAAATGTCCTCCAATCATGAAGCCTTTATACCTTACTGAGCTGAAGGGATGTGTTCCCTGGATCGCTACAAAGAATTTCACTTCTGTGTCTATTTAAAATTAAAAATAAAATAAAATAAAAAAACACAGTTTTGTTCCAGTCAAAGTGAAACAATGACCTGACTTCCATACGTGTAAGCACAGCGGAGGGATGGAGGGACACTGCGCCTGAGCGCTTCCTTCAGGGCTCCATGACGCCTGTAGAAGGTCCTGAGGCAGAATAATGGTTTCCCACAAGGCCAGGAAAAGCATCATCCAAAGCGAAACTTCAATCTGTACTTTACTGGGCTGGGACTTCTGCGAGGTGGAGATAGGGGGACCTTTGGTTTCACCGGACGAGGTGGCTTTTTCTTTTCTGGTACAGTGACGGTGAAGGAAAGTTCAGGTTGCTCTGACTGCTTGAATCTGGGTAGGAAGTGGGTGGAGACGTGCTGGGGTTTGACCCTTGGGCTGCAGCCCCTTTTGGCCTTCCCTCTCTTGTTCAGGGCCACATACCACTCCCGCCCAGTCTTTTCAGTTCTGTGGATTGCTGACGCATAGGTATTATAGCTGTTTTCTTGAAATCTCTCCCTGAACTTACAGTCATCTGTAAATTTAGCCTAGAAAGGAAAAAATGGGAAATTTAAGTTGCAACAATATTTTAGCATACAATAAATAGAAAGTCTTGAAAACCCAAATATTCTGACTCTAGGACCCTTGTACTGTGTTCCCCTTTATAAAGATATGTTCCTTTTAAAGTTGTGTGTGTGTTTCTATATTCCCATTTTGTCTTTGTAACACTATTTTTTATTCATTATGTTTAGGTGATATAGTGTCATTGTTTACACAAATACCCAGATCTATTGAATTTAAGCATTGCAAACTCTCACTTTAATACATACGAATAATGTTACTGTTTCTAAACTACTTTGAAATTTGTATCTATGATTTCTTAACATAGGATTTTTCCCCTCTAAGTCATAAAAAATAGAATTAGGTTATTAAGAAACAATTGACTGATAAAACATACATTTATGTTGCAGAGGGCCAAGCTTCTACCAGGAATGCAGTTAGCAGAGTCATATGATTCTTTTTGAGACAGGCATACATTTTCAGTGTTATCAGTGTGATTCTTAATAGCGAGAAAGGGGTGACATATGGCTCTATTAATATTGCATGTGTTAGAGTTCTTTTAGGAAAGAAATATATCTTCACATATGTGGTTCAAGAAAGTACATCTGAAGCCAGGGAGAAAAAAGTCATCCACATCATTAGCAACAATTCACCTGCATCTTATACATACTCACAGGCAAGCTAGCTTCGAAATTAGCAACAATTCACCTGTATCTTATACACACTCACAGGCAAGCTAGCTTCGGAATTAGCAACAATTCACCTGTATCTTATACACACTCACAGGAAAGCTAGCCTCGAAATGCACAGAGAGGTGGATGAGCTGACACCCATCCATCCATTAAGGTGCATCTTGTGATAAGGAATTGTGACCTCCGTGTGCAGGGCGCCCAATAACAACAATGGAGGTGATAGGCAAGAGAAAGCCCCATAAAAACCAACATTTGGGCTGTGTCGTGTGTGGCAAGACAGTAAGGAGGCAGCTGAGTGAACCTCCAGGAAATGGGAATATGTGTTCGGACACTGTGGATGTTTGTAAAGTAATTCCGTGTGACTTCCATTCGGGATCTATGGGGGAAAGGACAAGAGATGGGGTTGATAAAGTAAGCCAGTGACAGCTCCCAAAGAGCTCGTTTGCCAAACTGAGTACTCTGGAGGAACGTGATGGAGGAACCGGAGAGTTGTGCATCAGGCTTCCTACCGTGGCCCCTGGTACAGATGGCTGAGCTTCCATCACTGGATCCTATGCAGAAGCTCTGCATACATGGCTCCCGTGATAAGCAACACATGTTCCTAGGGTAAGGAGCTATAATTCCCAACAAACATAAAAGATCCCATAGCCTTGAATGGCTTAGAGTCCCTGTACTAGTCCAGACCTTCTGGATTCACAATGTCAGTGTCCCTTCTGTGCAAACTTTTCTCAACAATGCAGATCGCACACTGAAATCTGAAAGCTTGACTTTCATAATTTTCATAAATCCACTATTGAGCCCAATAAACAATTTTTTTTCTTTACTTCTGCAAATCAAAAGATGCTGTCAGAGGAAAGTCAACAGCAGAGCAATTCCCACAACATATTGACCTGTGTGCAACAGGGTCACCAAGTTTTTTACACTTGGTTCGCGCAAGTCCCTCTTTGATGGCTATGAAGGAATACATGGCTAGTCGACAATACTGGTAGAACTCTGCATTGGATCTGCTAAGGTGTAAGCAGGTGCATTACAGAGCTACCCCATGTGTGACATCATCTCTTCATGTCCTTTAACTCGCAAACTGCCAGCCTGTGTCTACTCTAAGGATGCTTAAAGAGACTTTCTCACAAATATAATCTAATCTTTTTCTATAGCTGTTTAACCCTTTAAAAGCTTTTCCTTCTAATGTCAATAAATATAGCTATGATTTTAATATATTTTTGTGAGACAGAGTCTCACTATGTACCCAAGGCTGCCATGGAACTTTCTGTGCTGACCTCAAATTCACAGAAATCAGAGAGTCTTTGACTCCTGACCCAGATTATTTTAATTTATTTTGTGTTTTTTTTTTTTTGAGGCAGGGTCTCTCTACATGGCTTTGACGGTTTTAGAACCCACTCTGTAGACCACATTGGCATCAACATCACAGAGATCTGCCTGCTTCTTCCTCCCAAATGCTAGGATTATAAGCATGTGCTAACACACCTGGCCTCCAGGTAAATCTTAAAAGAAAATATTTGAACCATCTCCACTGTTTGTGGCCTGTAAAATGACAAACATCTTAGAAAGACACGGAGCATTTCATGAAAAAGAATAACAGGCTAGGGCTGAAGATGGATCATTTTTTGGCTGTGTAGATGTGTAAGGCTTTGGGTTTAATCCTTAATATCTCAGACAGTAACAAAACTCATTTTATTTTATATCCTTGCCAAATAACACAGGCACAGACAGACATGTCCGGTTTTTGAAGTGGGCTGTATTGTTTAGTCTTGTTTACTCTCATGGTCTCTAAGGAAGTAAAGATAGATCACCTTTCAAAGGATGTGTCTGAGGCATGAACACGTGCACATACACGTGAGCGTACCTGTGTGACCCTGCACACACACACACACACACACACACACACACACACACACACACACACACGGAGCATATTTTGAAACATGTTTCAGTTCCATCCTAGAGCGAAAACCCACTTGATCCAGTCCCTAAACTTATTCAGCATAGGGACTTTCTCCACTTTCTAAGAATTCATGCTCTAAGGTTCGGTCAAGAAGGGGCTGGCTTTTGAGGCCGCCCACCTTTCAAAGGTCACACAGAGTAGAGACAACAGAGGGCTAAAGTCCCGATCACTGTATGCAGCCACCATTGAAGGCCAGAGTAAAAAGAGTCAAACCATTTGGGTTTTCTTAATTGACTTCTAATGTGTGTGTTTGTGTGTGTCTGTGTTTCTGAAAATTCCCCCATCTATGATGCACCAGAATTATTCGAACGAATCTTTCCATGGCCTTTGTCACTAGGAAATCCAGTTTTTTTTTTTTTTTTTTTTTTTTTTTTTTTTCGAGACAGGGTTTCTCTGTAGCTTTGGAGCCTGTCCTGGAACTAGCTCTGTAGACCAGGCTGGTCTCGAACTCACAGAGATCCGCCTGCCTCTGCCTCCAGAGTGCTGGGATTAAAGGCCTGCGCCACCACCGCCCAGCTGAAATCCAGTTTCATCTTGAAGGACTAATGGTCCCATGAGTATTCTCCCCTCCCGGGGAAGATTGTAACTAAACAGAATGTCTCCAATACAAGGGTCAGCATGGGACATCTAAGAACTGGTGACTGGGCAACATGGCCCTATCAAAATACATATACATTTACCAAAATGAAAACGATTATTCTTTAAAAACCTTGGAGAATAACTTTCTAGAGTAATTTTCTTCACTTTTTTTATTGAAAATAAATTATTTTCAAACAATATATTCTGATCACCCTCCCCTTCTCCTCACATCCAACTCCATGTCTTCTTTCTCTTTCTCTTTAGAAAACAAACAGGCGAATAAAACAAGCAAACTAGAATTTAAAAAAAGAAAAGAAGAGGCACAAGAAAAGACACACATACAAACAAAACCCATAAAAACATAAATCAAAAACCGTAGTATACAAGCAAATATTCAATATACATAATATACAAGACGAGTGAGATCTTTTTAAATGACCAAGTAAAGCAATATGAGACAAAAAAAAAAAAATCGACAAAAGTACCTTTGAGTTCATACTGTGCATCAGGCCTGCCCCTTCTCCAGTGAGACTACACCGGAGAAAACTAACTCTTCTTTGCAAGCAAACTGTCGAATGGAGATAGCTTCTTGGTTAGGGACAGGCGCTGGTATGCCCCTCTCAGTACTGGGATCCTGCCTGGTTTGGACGTGTGCTCACTACCACAGCATCTGAGTGAGTTTACATGTGCGAAAGTCTTATTCTACTTTGGAGACACTGCCTCCTTGGTGTCCTCCATTCCCACTGGTTCTTAAAATCTGCCTCCTCTTGTGCATAGCTTCCTGAGCACTGAGGGGGGAGGGGTTTGATGAAAACATCCCATTTAGGACTACATTTTTGTAGGGTAATTTTCATGTTACATTCTCCTTTAGATTATAAGACATTTTATAGTAAAATACATAAATTTTAAATAACAGAAATCATGAGTCTCCGGGTGGTTGGGGGTGAATTTGGCACACACACTTTCATTTACCGAAGGTATGATATAGGTAGGCAAATCAAATGCTAAATTATCTAATGAACTCGGGACTCATAGCTTCAGTGTCCAATTGCTGTCTGTCATTAGGGCAGGAAAGCCTCACTCAGATCTCTGCCTTTGCTGGGCAAGGTGGCACACAACCTGCAATCTCAGCATTCAGGTGGGTAAGACAGGAGAATGGCCAGGAGTTCAATGAAACTTAGTCTCAAAAAAAAAAATAGAGAAAGAAAGAAGAATAAAAAACAAATTTATCCCTATCTTTGTTTCAAATATATGTTTTAATTGATTTGATAGTTGTTTGCTGACTGCGTAGCCGAATATTATGCTATTCGCAGCTTCTACAGAGAGAAACTATATAGGCACATAAGCCTTCCGATCTTCCTTAATGAAATAAATCATTCGTGTTTTTTTTCTCTTTAATTTCTGCTCATCTTAAAAGCGTGAAAACAAATTGCCATCAAGAGACCCCAAGTTGAACATTAATGTAAAATGCTTAAATCAACTAATTTATTGTAGCTCACCGTTTCTGCCACAGCAACCAAAACTTAAACAAATTAAATTATGTTTGCTTGAATATCCAAATTATTACATAGAGGGAGGGGATATAATGCCAATAAAAGCAAGAAATTTTTATTCTCAAGAATTGTGCTTTCAACGATTGCTACCTAAGTTTTGACAAATGGCTCAAGAAAGTTCATTCAACAAACAGTTCTGGCAAAACTGATCACTACCCCAAAAAGAATGAAATTAGAAGTCCATCTCTCATGCTGCACAA